GATCTATCTCTTACTGTTATATCCCCGGGCAACGCCGGGCTCTACTGCTAGTAATGTATAAAATTCTATGACTCCCGTTAGTTCATCCGTGTGTCACACCCGCTAAAATAGCCATACACTAACCGATCGAAATTGGGGGGAGAAGTGAAAACTGATAAAGGAGTAAAAACCGCGAAGTAAGGATTTTGTCAAATTATTTTTCCAAACAAATCCGCTTATTCAAATTTCGCAGATTGACTTGCGAAATTGAACGCGACGTAGAGTTTGTAAATCTCACCAATAAATATTAGCGGTAACTACAACAATACAAAAGACTGTAAGGATTTCAACATGGGTCAGAGTGTTACAAAAAGAGTCTAGTGATAAAAAAAATCACAAATGCTTTAAATAATACTATAAAATAAATAAATATAAATTGTTCTCATACGTATAGCTCACACATTACAAAGAGGTCTATTAATGTATTGTAAAATGTGTGACCTTAGCTAGTTTTATTTTTATTTATTTTACAAAAATGTTCAGTAGAAAATGTCATTATGCCGTTTCTGACCTTAGATCTCTGGTTGGGATCCGGAAGGAAATGAGTATACAACAGAAATCAAAAGGTAGTAGTTGTAGTAGTAACACCGACGCCAGAGACGAAACCTCATCAGAACGGATTTCAATATCCGTCAGCGTGTTGCAAAAAATGTCTAATGCCTTAAAAATCAAGCTAATATTGTTTCATTATCACCATTTAGATGAATGAATTCACTTTAAATTAGACTTAATGTTTTGAATATCTGTTGGATCAAAATTTCATTCCAGAACTCAAGCGGAACTCAGATATACGACACATGGCTAATAATACTGGGAAAACTTTCGGTTCATTTCATTGTTTCAGGACACCTCTGACGCCTCTTTCTATACTTCATTTTTACGAATGTCTGATTAGGCTAAAACCTCGTAAATGACGAAGGGATTAACCGAATGCACCCGATTAAAAACGTTTGGACAATTCTCAAAAATCCACCCCGATGAACGAAATAAAGGTTTCGGTTCAAACTTCGATTCAAAATCCTAACTTCTGATCTAAATCCAGTAGAATAAAATCCAAAAACAGTAGTTACAAATTATAAGACACATAGCACGTGAAACTAGAACAATCTACACCGATGGGTGAAATAAAGGGTTCAGTTCAAAATTCTAATCATTTGAAGAAAGCTAGGGCGTACAACAGCCGAAGCGTTGTGAATATGGCAATGGAGATGAGGATAACAGTCCGAATAATGTAAATAATACAAGTAATCATAATACCTTATCTCAGAGATATAGACAGATAAAAACCTTGAAAAAAAATTCTTGTCTTTGTGCTTAGGTCAAATATGTATTAATGAAGAAATGCTGTGTACACACACCTACACAGACAGGCTTGCTCGCACGCGCATGCGTATACACATACACACGCAGACATTTGTATGTGGGCTCATATGAAATAAATCACTTTTTGTCAGTATATGCTTGAAAGAATTTATACACGATTCAGTGACAACGCTAATATACTTAATTTAGCGATATGCAGAAACAGCCCACCCATCTGCAGACTGGCTAATTATCTCTTTAATTAGTTAATTGTTAGTTAATAGGTTTATTATTAATTAAACGGTATTTTGACAAACTGCCCATCCAGAGATGTAGACCTTTGTTACAAAATCATTTACTATGATTAATCAACTAAGACCACAAAATTACAAAAGATATATATATATATATATATATATATATATATATATATGTGTGTGTGTGTGTGTGTCACCATGGCTTGGCGTCGCAAGATCACGCAGGAGTCTGTACATGTCGCTTGCAGGCACGTTCATGACTGATAAGTCCAATGCCGGATAGGCATACTCGGTCGCAGTAGTTGCAGCTAAAAGTCTGGCCTGGGCTCGATGGCATAGCATTTCTGTACTTCCTCTTCGCCTCTTGTACATGAGAGCGGTTCTGCAGGTATTTTAAAAGAAGGAGACAGCATGGTTGGTGGTGAGACGCCAGGCGTCACGGTTCACAGCTAGGGTTGACCATTGGCAGTATATATATATATATATATATATATATATATATATATATATATATATATATATATATAAGTACCTCCAAAGCCATTGGCGTTTTATATATATATATATTTATATATATATATATATATATAAACAAATGGATAAATATACCTAAATGTAATGAGTGAGCGTTCGTATACAAATACACACACACACACACACACACGCACACATATACATACATATATATATATATATATATATATATATATATATATATATATATATATAACCAAGTGGATAAATATACCTAAATGTAATGAGTGAGCGTTCGTATACAAATACACACACACACACACACACACACACACACACACACACACACACACACACACATATATATATATATATATATATATATATATATATATATATATAACAAATGGAAATGGATATATATATATAGTGTAAGAAAAACAGTACTCAATGTATATAATAGAGCTATTTAATATACTGAGAAATACACATAATACCTTATATTGATTGCGCAACTGGCAGTTTCATACCTTTGAGTTCATCATGTGCAGTTTTGGTTTAACACAAAAAATTGAACCTAACGAATGCGGAAGGTATAAAACTCTGAGTAGTGCAATCACTGTATGTATATTTCTTTAAATGTGTATCTGTATATATATATATATATATATATATATATATATATATATATATATATATATATTCACACAAAAACAAATGCAAAGGTTAATGATTTAATTGGCGAGAAATCCATCATCGCAAACAATTTAAATAATATACAAAAACCTCCGAATCCGTTATGAATGAAATGACCCTTGTTTCCATAAATTTCTGCCGTATTAGTTCTTATTTTTACTACAAGCTTTCGTCTGTTCCTACAGACATCTTCAGGTATAGAATAGATATTGTTCTTGTTTTTCTCTTAGTAATAAGAGGACAACGAAAATATATGTATTGTTGTATCCGAAAATGCTATTGAAAATGAGTTATTGTTTTTGGAGTGCGCAGTAGCAACGCTGAGTTTGATTTTAAATTTTTAAAGGTTGTGCGTTCATATAAAATATGGTGATGAACGAATTTTTTTACTGGTAAATTTTCTGTCAAAGTGGCATGAACTATATTGTTCAATAATTACAGTAATGTCGCACTTATTATCCAAAAGTCGCACTTGGATCAGTTATTTAAATTACGATAAACGTGCAATCAATTTACAAATTCATGAATCATTCACACAAAAACAAATTCATGAATTTGTAAATTGATTGCACGTTTATCGTTATTCGTATATTACATAATCATACTTATTATAAAACCCAGGTTGTGTATGTGTGTGTGTGTCTGTACGTTTATATATTGGATATATATTATATATTGATATATTTCCTACATTTTTCAACCGATTTCAACAAACCTTCACAGGACTACGTAAAATTACCTTGCGGTGGTTCTGACAGAGCCAAAAATTGGAAAAACACAATTGTTTTTGCACGAAATCAATTTGAAAACACGATTAAGAGGCATCACGAGAATGAAAGGGGGATAACTCATATTGAGTTATGTTTATTATAAAACCCAGGTTGTTTGTGTGCGTGTGTTCGTTTACATATGATGATCGGATTTCCTACATTTTTCAACCGATTTCAACAAATCAGAATTCTAATTATGAATCACCACAAGCAAAATATGCAATTTTTTTTACTGTATTCAATAAGTAAAAATCATAAATTGTAAAACTAAAAGATTACAGAAAGGCTACCTACATTTTTCAACCGATTTCAACAAAACTTCACTTTCTTTTTTTGGCATGTAGTGTTTCTTATTGTCTTGCACACTTTTTTCTTTATTTTTTACATTCAGAATGCTTTAAAAATTCCATTTACAAGATAATTGTTTATAATAAAATTCTATTCAATCGGTAGACTCATAACGATTGAAAACAATGCTTTTGTTTGGGTTTGGGTTTGACCAATTCGTAAAAAAACAAAAACAAAAACAAAAAAAACTAATTAAGACATGCGTGTCCGTCAACCTTAAACAATAATCTTTGTCAATTTTATTTTTCAGTCTTTATGATGGTCAATACTTGATCTATCTCTTACTGTTACATCCCCGGGCAACGCCGGGCTCTACTGCTAGTCGAATATAAAGTTACGCACAGTGTGTGACGGACAAAGAATCTGTCCTTCTTTCATAATATAGACTGAGTAATTTCAGGGACACGTAATGAGGAAGGAAGGAGGGCTTGGAAAATTTGATACTCACAGGGCAGATTGAGTGAAGGAGGGTCAGAGGAAAGCTGTACGTAACATACTTGATGAGCTTGAGTATATGGATGGTAGAACAGTGATGGGAGAAATAACAAAAAAGACAAAACTTATTGAGAGCTACAAGAGACGGGAAGATGTGAAGGACCATGATCGCCTATGCCCTGAAGGGTCTTGGCACATAAAAGAAGAAGTATGTTTTATTTAATCATTAGTCTACGAGCTTACCTATGTCGTCTGGGGTGAATTTTAGTCAAATACGATGCAAGGCTAATATTTATTCTTGACGTTTTTATTTAGTTGTTTTCTCGTTTTAAAACAAGAAATAGTCTACAAAAAATAAATAAAACGTCTAATATCCGTTACGAAGAGGCTGAGAAATTGTTTTTTTTTGTATTTTATTTGCAGAGAAACGAAAGAAAAAAAAAAACGGAAAGAAACCAAGTTAAAAAAAAGGCGGTATCAACAAAAAAAAAAAAAAACAAGGCCATTCTGAATGACGTAACCATGCAGCTGACACGATGAGCTACAGAATACGGAATAAAGTTAACAGATGTTATTTTCTTTGATCCTCCGACCTTTGTTGAACACAGCGTGAACTCGCCTAAATGCATTCTCGATATATAATAAGTAAATCTATTCATTGACATATTCATTCCATCACGCGGTGAGGGGGGGGCGTTTCTTCATGTAGAGAGAGAGAGAGAGAGAGAAAGAGAGAGAGAGTAAGCTCGATTTTCACATCATTACTATGGAGCTATTGAGTTGGAGTCTCACTGGCTGGTCTCTAGTTGTTTGGCTTGGTTTGTTTAACGGCATATCAACACTTTCATGGGTCATGTAATGCTGAATTACAACTCACTTTGAAGATTAATTGGACATGTCAGTCAGTCAATTATGTGTCATGCGTTATACACGCTTAGGCGATCATGTATCTTTCGATACATGACTGATGAGGCAGATTTTTTCCCCCGCAGTAGGTTGCGATTTCTTTCTGCAGTTAGACCAGTTGCCATCCAAGGCTATAGAACCCTGTTCTGCTATTTATCCGTAGCTTGGAGGAGAAGAATAGGATCCATACCTTTCCCAAAAGTATCAGCACGTCAGTCAGTCAGTTATGTGCCATGCGTCATACACGCTTAGGACTGACGAGGCAGATTTTTTTCTCGCAGTAGGTTGTCATTTCTTTCTGCAGTAGACCAGTTACCATCTAAGGCTATAGAACCCGGCCTGTCCTGCTATTTACCCATAGTTGGGTGGGGAGAAGAAGTGGGTTCATACATTTCCCAAGGGTATTAGAACGTAAGTGAATGTAATGGATTCGACTGGAATTCGAACTTGGCTCTCCGATTACTCACTCCGTGCCCAATAAACCGAATTGACCGTAAATGCCCATTGACGAATTTTGCCATAAACAATAGCAAAAGAAAGAAAATAAAGGGGCCAAAATAATACCAAAGAAATATATGCATGACAAAGGTAGACATTCATTTATCTTGCGAGATAAAGGTAGCAACCTCTTTTTTTTTTTTTTTTTTTTTTTAAAGCGGCATTCACCCTGGGCGGATCGAGCCGGCTTCTTCCTGTTGTGAGAAGAAGATTCTTGGGATAAATTACAGAAGTAGGGTACCCAGGCCTACTCGGATAACGTTCTTGCTTGCCGCGGGATTCCCACAGACGCAGAGACAGGAACGACCAGAAGCCGCCGGTTGCCGATGCAGACGCTCCTTGGATTTTCACCAGAGCCCTTGTTAGCCGGCGTGTGTGTCAGACCTGTCCGCCTTGGGTGGCCTTACCAGGAACGAAGTTCCGGACGGCATAGCTCTGACATTACCGTTTACACCCCCCCCCCACCGACTGTGAGGTAAGGGTTGGACTTTGGGGGCTTACAGTACCAGGTGTTCCCAAGCTGTCCCCCATCTAAGTACTGACCTGGCTCTACGATGCTTAACTTCGGTGTCTTCCCAAATTTGGTCCAAATTCAGTCCTTTGGTGGTGAAACTTGAGTGAGCTTTCCAGGTCGCAGGCCTGGGCGATTGTATATGGAGGCCATGCGCTTCCCAGACAACATGGGTCCTCTTGGCTGTACTGACGGGATCCAAAGGAATACAGCTTATTACATTTTGAGGACGCCTTTGTCGAAAACTTGTCAACCACCATCGGATCTTCACTCTAGTTTTTTCTGTCTGGATTTGCCTTTTCCGTTGGGCATGACCAGGAGTTTAAAATCAGGTTTTCTTTCTCATAGATCAGGGGGTCGTCAAACTGGGTCCGTGCGACCCCTAGTAGTCGGTGAGGATTTCCAGTGGGTGGATGATATTGAAAGGGTCGAATGGGGGTCAGTGTGTGAATGACACTGAGCTAAATTTTAGTTAGTGTACATGTCTGTTGTATTCTTCGCTGCAGATAAAAGTAAGTTTTAAACCATCTTCTTTGGATACAGTACCTTATTGGATATTTGTCGCGGTTATGTATTTCTGGTCAATAGCATGGCATGTATTTAGGCTTGGAGTACGTAATATACTATTTATTCGATTCATTGGGGTTGTTTAATTTTTTTTTCTTAAATATACCTGGTGTAACGGCAAAATTGTCCAAATCGACTTACAACGTAATTGTCCATCCCGCAAAATGTTTAATATCTAAAAACAAACACTAAACTAATTGAGTTTCTTTTGTCCAGGTTTTCAGATGAGACGTTTAGCCATCTTGACACCATTTGTCGTAAGAATCCCTGAAAAACCTTCTGAGTTATTTGGTTAGAAAGAGAACAGGTTAAAATTGTTTTGTGTCAGACCCGCTGTCTTCCCAAATGAGCAATGGTGAGAAGAAAAAGATCATTCAGGCCTTCAGTAATGGTACCAAAATTCATACTCTGACATCCATCTTCAAAGTCTATTCAAGAACCATCAAGAGAACGGTGAATAAATTTTAAAAAAGTAGCCCGACATACACCATTTTGGAATCAGACCGACTCCTTGAGCAAATTAACTGATTTCAAGCTCCAACTTGTAGCTAATAAAGACAAGTAACATAAAAATACACCAGCGTATTGCTGCTAAATTAATCGGGTAAATTTAGAATTAGGTTACTGAATTTGAATTTTTAATACTAGCAATTATTTCAAATAGTCACTTGTTTTTATTCTTTCAAATAATATGCAACTGCTAAACCAGGTGTCGTTAAATGGGATCTTAGCGACCCCCTAGCAGTCGATGAGGATTCGCAGGGGTCGATGATAGTGAAGGGATCGAATGGGGGTCAGGTGTATATGGAGGCCATGCGCTTCCCAGACAACATGGGTCCTCTTGGCTGTACTGACGGGATCCAAAGGAATACAGGTTATATGAGCTAAATTTTAGTGAGTGTACATGTTTGTTGTATTCTTCGGTGCAGATGAAAGTAAGTTTTAAACAATCTTCTTTGCATACAATTCCTTATTAACTGGATATTTGTAGGAGTTGTGCATTTTTGGTCAGTAGCATCGCCTGTATTTAGGCTGGGTGTACGTACTATATTATTTATTCGATTCATTTAGGTTATTTGATATATTTCCTTAAATATATTTTCTGAGGAAAATTCTGAACCTGATGAGACAAATTTTTCAAATTTCGTAACTTTTCATACATTTTAGTTAACATTTTAATTGCCAACATCAGTACGAGTCTTAAGGTTCAAAGTGGAAGTCACTGGGGAAGGAAGAACAAGGAAGAAAGATCGATAAAGTTTGACGACTCTAGATGGACTGCCTTCTTGGGCTGTCGAGGTCCATCTGTCAGAAACAGTTGGTTATGAAGCGTTGGTTTTCCGTTGCCCATTCTCCGGCATTGAGCTGGACTTAGTTGTCAGAGCCTATTTGAGTGGCATGACGCAGAAGCATTTTATAGACAGTGGGAGCATTACCCCTACTATCAACATTTACAAACGTAGGTAAGGCAACAATAATGAGGCAAAATATTCACAAACTAAGAATGGTGTTATGACACAAAAGGGATACAGACTAGTGATCGCAGTGTTCTGACTTCAAAACAAGAATGAGGAGGATAAGATCAAAGATTTATCTATGTTATTGCTTAGGAAGAAATCCCATTATGCGTCTGTACGGTTTGTTTATAAGCTTGGGGAGGGGGATATTTTTGCAGTCATTCCACAGTGATCTGGACCAACACACTTGCAAATGGGACCAGCCATCTCTCATTTCTATGTTCTGCTTGCGCTTTATCTAAAAGAGAGAAAAACAACTTGAGAAATATAAAAGTAACCACAGACCCAAAAGAGATGCCTTGGGCTACTTATTTAAACTCACACGGCCCATCTTTTCTCTATTACTCATTTACCACGGCTGCCGTCAATTACTCGTTAACATTCACGGTGTTATGGGATCTTACACATGATAATAATAATGGACTATTCCATACTTAATAAATACTGCGCCTCAAGAGTAGGCGAGAGTCAGCAGTTCAAGTCGATCTCAGTCGGCCGGCTGATCGGTTGAACTCTCTGCCTTCGGGCGGGGAGGAACCCGAACGAGGCTACGCCGAAGGGCGGATTCTCTTTCGGGGAGGTAAACCGACCCTGAACCCATTTATACGGGTTCAATGGGCATATTTTTGGCCGAGCACACGGGCTCGGAGATCCTACGGTAAAAAGGCCTTGTGCCACATGACGCCCTCGTGTGTGTGTGTGGGGGGGTGACTGAATATCGTCAGTAGTTCAAGTAGAGTCAGTAGTTCAAGTCGAGTCAAGAGTCGAGTCAGAGGCAGTCCAAAACAGAGTCGCGTTTCAGACAATTACTGCAAGACATTGGAATAGTGATACTGGTCAAGACTACATTGTTCTCTCTACTAAACCTGATTGTTCGTACTAACACTTCTACTTCTCTGTATATATTCCTGTTTGTAATATATCTGTGTTATTCCATACCTGTGTTCGAGTTCTTCTTTATTGGTTCTACCTTGGACTATCACCGTGGTACAAGGAACCGGACCATAACACACAGGACTCAGCTTTCGTGCATTACTCATTTAAACACATGAGGCTCAGCTATCTCTATCTACAAGGCTCATCTTTTGTCTGCTACTCATCTACATTCACAAGGCATAGCTATTGTCTATTACTCATCTACATTCACGAGGCATAGCTATCGTCTATTACTCATCTACACTCGCGAGGTTCAGCTACCGACTATTACTCATTTGATCTCATGAGGCTCAGTCATCGTCTATTACTCATCTACACTTACGAGGCTCTGTTATCGAATATTACTTTTTCTTTTCTGACTTGTTATTCCTGGCTTGAATATTGAATATATTAGAGATGGCTGCTTTATGGCGTAATGTAAATAAAGATGTCAAAGGTGTTGGCCATCCTAGTGTTAAAGTAAGTACAGGCCACTTGCACTACAATCTATTTCTTCAAATAAAAAAATACTTTCGTTGTAATACGTAGTTTCTAAACTACAAGTTCGACGCAAAAGCAAGCTGAAAGGAACGCTCAGTGAATCCTCAAAATAAAAGCTTCACTAAAAGGTGAGCTATTCGACATTCAACAGCGGTTTCATCTTGACTCCTGCTGATGACTGCAGTTAACATCCCGACGCAAAATCCTGCCTGTTGGAAGGCCTAAAATTCATACGCATTTTGCTTATCTCAAATAATAAACAGCAAACAAATAAAACAAATCAACTAAAGCTTTACAAACAATAATCAACATTTTAACGCACGACCAAAAAAGAAATATTGACGTCACACACGTAAGCAAACTTTTGGCAGCAATTAAAACAACCTAAACATAGGAAGAAGCTAAGATGGGCAGATTAAGTAATAAACATAGCTGTATGCTATTTGCATTCGGACTATTGCCATCATCTTTGTTATTATCACGACGTTTCGACTGTTGTGTTCGCCGACCTTCATCAGGTGTATATCGATCTAGCTAACCTTCAAGGAATTCCGAACTGAATCCATTACTATGTCTCCAAATTCCCGAACCAGTGCTTTGATCCCCTCGGCTATTGTTCCGTGGAGCAAAGTGGAGAAACTGGAGCCTTAAATCTAACCTTCCTGCAATACTTGATTGCACTTATTGAAACTTTTCTCCTTTCTTGTTACAACTGCTGCTGCTTTTGAAGATTTGATGTCATTTGTTTTTTTTATTAGCAGCTCTCCTATCGTATTTATTTCTATGCTAGGCCTCAAAATGGGTTGCGGGTACCAGTGCTGGCCCGCGAAACATCGTCTGCCGGTACGCAGAGAGTTTCAAGGAAACAAAGAAACAGTAGTCTCATTCCACTCCACGTGAGACTGTCGGGGTATCTGACTTGTTTTTTTTTTCTTTTTCTAAAATTTTCATTTTAGTTTTATATTTATTATAGTTATATTTTTCAGTTACTCACCCGTATTAAAAGCCATTGGTATACAACAAACGAATGCGATATAATGAACAGCAAAACAGTGAAATAAAAGACGTATGACAACACCATCATGAACCACACCTTTCTTTTCTTTTTATGTGCCGTGTCCCTTCAGGACGTAGGCGATCATGGCCCTCCACTCCCCCATCCCTTGTAGCTCTCAATAAGTTTTCTCCCTTTGCTACTTTCTCCAGGCCCTGTTCTGTCATTTACTTGCTTAAGCCCGCTAGATATGCTACTCAAAGTATGGTACGTGTACCTGTGCCGGTACGTGAGACATCGTCTGTCGATATGCGGAGAGTTTTCAGGAAACAGGAGTCACATTCCACGCCACGGGAGACTGCTGGTATATCTGTTTTTTTTTTTTAAAAACATTTTCCTCTTAGTTTTATATTTAATATGGTTATATTTTTCAGTTACTCACCTGTTTTAAAAGTCATTGCTATACAACTAACGAATGCGATATCATGAACAGCAAAACAGTGAAATAAAAGACGTATGACAACACCATCATGATCGTGTGGCGTATGACTGTTTGGAAAACATATTGAAGAATACCAAAAAGGCTATTTTCATTGGCATATATTTTTATCTGGCTTTTAAAAATTTCGCCTGATTGTGAAAAAAAAAGAAAAGAAAGAATAACCACGTGGATTTTGACCACAATGTAACCGTAAGTTCTATGCTGACAGCTTCTTCTATCGTAATATCGCTAACTCTCTTCTGGCTCCATGCATTCCAACTTTCATTTTAAAAGATTTAAATGCAATATCAATTGCTATCTAGTGTGTTCTTGATTAATCTTTAATTGTTCTCGCTTCTTAATAATGTTTCTCTTTTTTTTTCTTATTCTTTCACACCTATGTCATAGTGACTTTACTGTAAGCGTAAAAAAATGTATTCGAAAACCAGTTCAATATTCGATACTTTACTTCGGTTTGTAGACTCTAAATAGACCATAATTAAAAATTTAATCTTATTTATTCAATTTTGAAGAAAGGTATAACAATGAAGAAGAAACAGGTTAAACTTATTTTTTATTAGCCGTGCAGACTTTTAAGTTAGCTCGGGTGTAGGGCTAATTGCGCTAAAACTAAAGCGACCGTTCGTCCAGCTTAGAAAACATTAATGATAATTTTGAAGAAATAACTTTGAATTCCTCAATTCACTTCCTGCAACTTAACTCTGATTCGGACTAGAAGTGCAATTCTTGTCAAAAGACCGATTTAGACTGAAAGTCCGGATTTGGCCGAAAGTTTGAATTTACGCTGAAAATTGAGTTCTTCAACATCATAAACTCCATGAAACTTCAACTGAGTTGAGTTTTTCAAATCACAAACTCTGTGGAACTTCAAAACCTCCCGTCACGAAAAGTATCAGTTTAACTCTGAATATGTTGTTAAGATATTAAGGGGTCACAAAGCACTACCCGCTGCCCCCAAACAGGCCTCACAGGTTGGGGTTGCTGGCCCTACTCTAAATTTCTAAATATTTTTAACTAATACGAAGCTAAAGGTAATTAAAATTAATTAAATTTTTATTTCTAGATGGTCTTAAAACAAATCATACTTGAACAAATTTGTAGATATTTGAAAATTTAAAAAAAATTATTTCTCATTTCATTGTCGAGCGTGTTTTAAAAATACGAAACAGTGTATTTAACCTGTTTTTTTTTTTTTTTTTTTTTTTAAAGAGACTCTTATATTAGAATCTCTATCTATAAAAGGCACGATGTGTGTGTGTGTGCGTAATGAATGCACGGCCGCAATTTTCGACGGATTTGCACCAAAATTTACATGCACATGCTCCAAGTTAGCAGGAAGGCCAATACCGACTTTGCATTTCCCAACTCCCATCGATAGTGGAAATAATAGATTTTTTCATGCTTCTACGGCAGTTTTCATGTAGTTTGCGGCCATTTTCCACTGGCCAGAATGACAGCCAATATCTAGCTGCCACGAATAGGCAGGAAGATTCTATTGGCCAGCGTGAGAGCCAACAGCTGACTGACACGAATGTTAACTAGCATGCTAGCATGCAAAAAAAAAATCGATAGCTGCATTCGTCACAAGTGGGAAAAATTTAAATCTGCATGGCACTTTACTCCAATTGGCTCATTCGCTTGCTTAAACTCAACGTTGATTCTGATTCCGCAGAACTGGGTTGGGTGTGAAAAAGTATTTGTTGTTAACATTCTTTTTTCATTCGGTTTTTCCAGTTACGAGTCCTTTTTTAAAGCTGATCGTTCTGTGTTCATTTTGTTTAGTTCTTTTTTCGTAACAGATTTAATGTTTAGTATAGAGCTTAGAAAAAATTGGCAGTGTGTGATAGGCAAGAAGTAAGGCATGTAGCAACATCAGCACGGCAAAGGGCACGCCTTTAAAGGCAAGGAAGAGCAAAAATATTTTAAGTCAAGTGATAGCGATTGCTGTATGAGTTGTACGATTTTTGAATCAAGCACGGGCAGCGCCGGGCCATACTGCTAGTCTGTAATATAAGGTTTCGTGAATTCAAAATAAGGTTCATTATTCTGAAAAGACTATGGATACCTCGACGTGGTGTAATGGTTAGCAAGCTTGTCTCGCTATATCAGTTACGACTGAAAAATGAGTTTGATCCGCACTCGGTAATCTATACTTCCGGCCTTGTGCCACATATAAGCTACGCTTAGAAATATGGGCACCTCGAGACGGTGTAATGGTTAGCAAGCTTGTCTCGCTGAAACAATTACGACTGAGTAGTTAGTTCGATCCTCACTGGGTGCCTCTACTTTCTGCCTTGTGCCACATCTAAGCTACGCTTGGAAAATCACTATTCTGAAAAGCCTATTCAATTTCTGAGCGCATATCATATATTTTAAGCAGGTTTTTAGCAGAGTTATTATTTGTGGAGAATGAAAGTGGGTATGAAAAATAATAATGAGAGGGTGTTAGTCAGAAAAGTGGCATAGCAACACTTTGATTCAGGTTTTCTTCCTATAATTAAACAGACGCTCAGATAAATTAGTGGCAACGGATTCTGCGTCTATCCGCCATGTTAACTTTTTTTTATGTTTCGTAATTACTAGAAAATTACCGACCGAGGTATTTAAAAGGAAGTCAACGGAAAGATTGAGACTGAAGTGAAAGAAAGAAAAATGAAGGAAAAAAATATTCAAATAAATCTAAACGAGGAGATAGACTGAAAACAAGTGAAAATCAATCGGAAATATCTGAAAGAAGTGAAAAAAAGAGAACGATGTCGGAGCTTTTAAAGTGAAAGACAGGAAAAGAATGAAGGAAAAGAATAATCTTACAACACTAGAAAAAGAAAGAAAGACGACGAGGGCAATTAAAAGAAAAAAAATACAGCGATAGAAAATTACAATAAAAAAGAGAATGTGAAAGAAAAAATATACCGAAAGAATATGAGAGATAGATAGATAGTGAGAGAGAGAGAGAGAGAGAGATAGATAGATAGATAGATAGATAGATAGATAGATAGATAGATAGATAGATTGAGAGAGAACAAGCAAAAATAATACCAACGAAACAAAGTAAACAAAATACAGAAGATTAAAAAAGAAAAATGAATGAAAAAATGTACGGAAAAGAAAGAATATCGGAGATAGCTAAATTACAGGTAATATATATATATATATATATATATATATATATATATATATATATATATAGAGAGAGAGAGAGATATATATATATATATATATATATATATATATATATATATATATATATATATATATAGATATAGATATCTATCTCTCTCTCTCTCTTTCTCTCTCTATATATATATGTATATATATATATATATTTGTAAAAAAAATAGCAAAATAAATAAAATTTGGCAATGAGAACGGACATATTTTAATTATAGGGTTGAAACCAAAAGAAAAAATAGGAACGTTTCATATAAAAAGAAAGAAAGAAAGAAAGAAATATTGACCGAGTTAACCGGTTTCGTTCCTCACACACACACACACACACACTCACACACAAAACTCGATCGAGGAAAATAAATATACATAGCAACTATTACAAATGAACAAAGAATGAAAGAAGGAAAACATGAGCGCACGATGAAAGAATGAAAATTAAAAGAGAAAAAAAAAATCAAAGAATGAAAAAGAAAAGAAAAAAATGAAAAATAAAATAGTGTAAGAATGAAAAAAAACAAAAAAAACGAGAGAATAAAAGAATAAACGTGAGAGAGAGAGAGAGAGAGAGAGAGAGAGAGAGAAAAGAAAGAAAGAGCAAAAGGAAAAGAAAAAAAAAATAAGCCAACAAAACAAATAAAACGAAATACAGAGATTAAAAAAAAAAAAAATGAATGCAAAACGTTCCATAGAAAAGAATATCGGGAGATGTTTATAATTAAAAAAAAGAAAAGATGGCAAAGAAAACGGATATATTTTAATTATGGGGTTAAAACTAAGAGAAATATAAGAACATATTTAATACGCCGAAAAAGAAATATTAAGCAAATTAACCGGTTTCGCGCCTCATCAAAAACTCGATCGAGGAAAATAAACTCCAAGTATGTAGCGACAATTAAAAAAAAAATGAACAAAAAATAAAAAGAATGAAAAATAAGAAAAACAGTTCAACATAAAAGAATGAAAATTAAAAGAGAAACGATAAAAATATCAAAGAATGAAAATAAAAGGATGTAAAAATTAAAGAATAATATAAAAAAAAAAAACGATAAAATCTATATATAAAGTTCTGTGACTTTCGTTAGAACGCCTTCCGTCACATCCTCTAAAATAGACATACATCGCCCGATTGAAACCAAAGTTTAGGAGAAGTACAAACAGATAAGGCCGTATAAAGTACAATTGGTTTTATTAATGTGCGTAGCTTAGTTTTAATTGTCCTAAACTTTTTGTGATAAGTTAAGTTTTATTATTTAACATACAAAATACTCCCACTGTTTTAAAATAACAATTTAAGGATTAAAATAACAAAAACTTATTTAATAAAAAATGCAATATTCCTTTTTGAATATTTTTTCTGTAAATTCTTATATATTGACTTTCTACGCGTAGCTTAGATGCGGCACAACGCTGAAAGTATGGGGCACTCAGTGAGGATCGTACTCACTATTCAGTCGTAACTGTTTTAGCGAGAGAAGCTTGTTAACCATTGCACCACGCCTAGGTGCCATTCTTTAAGTTTTTATATATACAAGAATCCACTTTCCAGTTCGCCCTGTCTTTGCGAGAACTATAAAAAACATCACAAGGCCAAAGGCTTCAAAAAGTTGGAATTTGATCTCAGAAAGAAATATTTAAGCAAGACCAACTGTGTGTTCCATTCTGAAGAGTAAGAAAACGTCAGAATTTATTCTTCGCTATTAAAAAGGAAAAGGGAGAAAAAAATTTTCTTAAAAAATATTGTTTACCATGACCTATAAAATTAAAGGAATTATAAAACCGCGAAGTAGGATTTTTGTTCAAATTATTTTTGCGAACAAATCAGCTTATTTAAATATTATCGATTGTACATTATTTACATTATTCGGACTATTGTCCTCATCTTTGTCGCCATATTTATCACAACGTTTCGGCCGTTGTCCGCTCCGGCCTTCTTCAAGTGGTTGGAATGTCGAACTGAATCCTTTATTTCGCTCACTGTAGACTGTTCTAGTTCCACATGCCATGTTTGATGGATGTCAGATATCAGTTATCTTTTTTTTTTTTAAAGCATTAAGCTCCGAGCAAGGCGTGAAGCCACTAGGATGCAGGGGGTTGCAGAAGATTTGGAGCGAGAGCAGATAGGAGTGATAGAGGAAAAGTTGAGGAGAGGGATAGTGGATAGATCAAGGTAACTGGAGATGTCGATTAACATTACATTTGAATAGTTGGAGATTATAGCTCTCAGGGAAACAGTAATAGAGAAGGGTGTTCCACAGCCGAGAGGTGCGAGGTATGAAGCTATTGGAGTAGAAGAGACGGCTACATTTAAAAGTTTCTACAGTGAAAGGGTGGGAGCGGGATGCCAGCCTCGTAGGGCGCTTGAATTCATGAAGTCTGGAAACCAGTGAAAGCAGCTCATCGGAGCAATTACCATGGAAGTATTTGTAGAAAAGACAGAGAGAGGCGACGGCGCGTCTGTGAGAGAGTGACTGCAGACGAGACGCCAGATCAGGGCCAATTAGATTACATATCCGTCTCTGGATCTTGTCAAGAACTCCGAGGTAAACAGAAGGTGCCCCAGACCATATATGGCAGCAATACTCCATGTTAGGGCGAATGGTTGTTTTGTATATTTGAAGTATCGATTCCGGGGAGAAACATTTCCTGGCGCGGCACAGAGAGCCAACTTTCCTCGCGGTGGACGAAGCAATTGACTCAATGTATTTGTTCCATCTCAGGTCAGCAGTCAGAAGAAGTTGACTATTAGATATTCTAATGGTGGGCAGGGAAGGATCTCTCCTGTTAATTTCCCTCTGAAAGTTCTCCACTGCCTTAACCGGGTATTGAACTCACACTCTTTGGGCCCTGTCACTGGATCTAACCAACGCCTTTATCCACTGTGCCATGTGTCCTTGAATAATGCAAATAATGTACATAGTACCACCTCATCTCAGAAATATAGACAGTCATCGATTGGTTTGCGAAAATGTACGAAACGTAGAGTTTGTAAATCTCGACATGTTAGCGAAAATTTTAAAAATACTAAATGTTGTGAGGATTTCTCCACTCGTCAGCGTGTTGTAAGAGGATAAACGCACAATCAAGGTTATGAACGGAAACTAAAGAAACGAATGAACGAAAAAATGAAGCAAAATTCGTTAACGAAATAAAGCGACTAAAAAAAAAGTACAAAATACAGAAAGAAAACAAGGAAGTACATTGTTGGGAAGAAAAAAATATAAAAGCAATTATTCAGAAAAAAACGTGAAGGACAATCTAGAAATGAAATGCAGCGAGTCTGTAAAGCGAAACGAAAGCAAATAAAACGAAGGTAATTGGCAAAATATTCTCTTAAAAAAAAAAAGAAAAAAAACAAGTAAATTACGTGATTTTAATTAAAACAGTGACCTTGATATAATTGAATCAATTTTCCCGCTTTTTTTTTATTGAGAATAGTCAAACAGATAAAGAAACACCTTTTACGTTTGTCTAACTCGCGTTTTTAGTCGAATCGGATAATAAAAATGTCGACGGCATTATTTTTAATGGATACACGTGTTTGGGTAAACGCCCTGATTTTGTTAAATCTATTTTAAGCAGCCTTGCACATTAAGAGACTCAGTAAAAACGTGCTCTACGGCAAGGTTCGAACTTGCGTTCCGTTTTGTAAGGGAAACAACTATCTGGTTGAGGGCGCTTTAGACTCCTCGGTCACAGAGAGTGTTACAGCCAAGTAAGCTTCAATTACTCTTTTAAAGAATACACAAACGGCGCGTCTATTCAAACACGTGCATCCACAAAACCTAACTCTTACAGCAATGAGAAATGATTTCGGACTGAAAATAAAATCCATTAATTCCATAGAAATGTAAAACTATATATTTATTTATATATTTATTAAAATGCTATATATTTAGAGATCCTTGATAAAATCCGAAGAATCTGCAATGTTACTTGGTCTTGACCTGGCATCTCGCCTTTCTTATCGCTGTAACGTAGTTTCCCTGTGACTTTTCTATAAATATTTACATGGTAATTGTTCTGATGAACATTCTTCTATGATAGCTAGACTTTATGAATTTAAGCGCAGTACTAGATTGGCGGCTAGGTCTCATCATTTTACTGTAGAAATGGCAAGATGTAACCGGAAGTTTTATGCTAACAGTTTCTTCTCTCGCACTTCCCGCTTGTGGAACTGTCTTCCGTCTTCTTGCTTCCCAGTTAACTTGGATCTTCAAAAAAGTTAAATGCAATGTCAATCGTTATTTTCTGTTTTCTTAATTCTTGTTCTTTTATTGTCCCCTCTCCTTAATAGTATATGTTTCTCGTATGATCTAACACCCAGTAACTCCTTGCATCTTAGTGACTTTATTGCCTTGTTTGGGGTGAAATGATGAAATTTAAAAAAAAAAACATTAAAATAGTTTAGGTAAATCGAAGTATCATTCTTTTCTATCTATTTGACCCAAGTTTTAATAAAATTGGGCAACTGCGTAAGCAATTTATTAAGTCCTAATTTATTTACATTATTTAGATTTGGATTATTGCCCTTATCTGTTATTGCCACCAAGTTTCGACTGTTTTGACATTCTAACTTCGAACATCTGTAATAATCTAGGTAGCTTTCAGACATCTGTAACAATCCGGGTAGCCTTCAGACGTCGATAAAGATCAGGGCAGCCTTCAGGCGTTTGTAACAATCTGAGTAGCCTTCAGGTGTCTGTAACAATCCGGGTAGCTTTCAGGCGTCCATAAAGATCCGGGTAACCTTCAGGCGTCCATAAAGATCCGGGTAGCCTTCAAGCGTTTGTAACAATCTGAGTAGCCTTCAGGCGTCTGTAACAATCCTGGGAGCCTTCAGGGGGTCTGTATCAATCCGGGGAGCCTTCAGGCGTCTGTAACAATCCGCCTACGATTCAGGCACCTGTCAATCCAACTAGACATCAGGCGTTTGTAAAAAATCGAGCTAGCCTTCAGACATCTGTAATAATCCAGTTAATATTCAGGCGTCAGTAACAATCCGACTAGCCTTCACGCGTTTGTCAAGCCGCCTAGCCGTCAGGCGTCTGTAACAGTCCGGGTAGCCTTCAGGCGCCTGTCAATCCCGCTAGCCTTCAGGCGTCACTAACAATCTGGGTGTCAGTAACAATCCGGCTAGCCTTTACGCGTTTGTCAAACCGTCTAGCCTTCAGGCGTCACTAAAGGTTCGGGTAGCCTGTAACAATCCGGGTAGCATTCAGGCGTCTGTCAATCCGGGTAGACTTCAGGCGTCACTAACAATCCGGCTAGCCTTCAGGCGCCACTAACAATTCGGGTAGACTTCAGGCGCCACTAACAATCCAGTTAGACTTCAGGTGCCAGTAACACACTGGCTAGCCTTCAGGCGTCTGTCAATCTGGCTAGCCTTTAGGCATTAGTCAATTTGGCTAGGCTTCAGGCATCACTAACAATCCGGCTAGCCTTCAGGCGTCTGTCAATCTGGCTAGCTTTAAAGCGTTTGTCAATCCGGATAGCCTTCAGGCGTCTGTAACAATCCGGGTAGACTTCCGGCCTCACTCACAATCTGGGTAGCCTTCAAGTCGTCAGTAACACATTTCGGCTAACCTTCAGTCAGGAACACGCCAGCTAACCTTCAGGTGACTGTCAATCCGGCTAGCTTTCAGTTGTCGCTAATAATCCAGATATCCTTTAATCGTTTGTCATTCCGG